ACTTAAATCTTAACTATATAATACTACCGATACTAAAATCCCTCGGCGGATGACTTCTTTCTTGAGCCTAAACCTATAAAAAACTAAGTTCCCTCGTCGGTTGTCTTCGTTCTTCAGCTTAGAACTAATACTAATCTGACCAGTTGCTGCATTCTTTGACACTAATTTTCAAGAAAATAAAACTTCTGTATGTACCTACTTTGTTACCGATTGCTGTCCTGCATTATCAACATATAGTACCTGACTCCACACGAAAAATGTACAATTTGTGCATATGTTGAACGATTTGCACTATAATGTATGCATACATTATATGCACATCGTTTTCCACTGTTTCATTTGAGTCGCAGTAACGGGACCTAAGAATATCTGCAATTTTGGAAACGCGTTTCTCACGTAGTATGAAGTACGTGGTTGTGGCTTAAATAGACGAATAGTCGCTGTACTGTCAGCTGGGGGTGTGGCGGCTCCTGTAATCCGGCTACTCGGAGGCTAGTTATGAAGGAGGGTCTTGACGCACAGATTCAACTGTTGGTGTTAGGGTCACGTTGACTGGGCGTCCGCGCTAAGCTCGCCATCAATATGGGCACCCTTGAGGAATCTTGGGCGGCCAGGTTGGCTAAAGAGAGGCGAACCGGGCCAGAGGGGAAACCCAGCAGCCAAAAGTCTCCGTGGCGGGCAGTAGTGGGATCGCGCCCGGGAGTGGACGGCATCAGTAGCTTGGGCAAATATTAGACTCGACACATAACTTTTTTTTCATTTAACATTATTCTAGCACGTATATCATTATATCTCAACCTCGTAACTTTTATTATTAATTTTTTATAATTATATCATGTCATTTGAGTATCTGAAGTATAGGAGTACATACATGAATATCTTATTTTTTCATTGTTCTAACACTTATGAACGTGTATATCTATATGATGTTAATGTGGTATCATTACTATAAAAGTACGATTATTAATTTGTAGATCATATAAAAATTTTCATTACCTCACTGTACTATAATTTTACTAACTTTCGTACTTTAACTGTATTAAACTGACCTCCATACTTTTTTCCTTCTCTGTAGATATTTCTAATAAGTTTGAATTCTTTTTATATGATGTTCTTGCTTTATTAACTGTTACTCACTGCCTATAAAATTATGTGGGATATGTGTAGAATTTTGCCAGTATTTTAAAGAAATATAAGCCATGGAAAGAATACTATTTATGTATATATATATATATATAACTGTTTCTTAAAATAATTGTAATGAATATAAAACTTATGGCAACTGAAATCATATAATTCAATTTTTCACGAATACAATTATAAATTTTTAAGTGCATATATTTCCTACGTTATTACGAATTTTTTACTTTAGAAAACAAGACAATAAATGAACTATAAGTATGTTTATTCCATTATATAGCCTGTTTTATTACTAACATAATGTCTCCAAAAATAAGTTTAATATGATTTTCATCAAGATTCCTAATAATTAGATATTTTGCTCATGAGTAAAACAATCTACTTATTCTATTGCAATGCTAATGTGAAAAACAATTCGCTTAAGTACTACTTTTGTATCAAATAATGCTGATATAAATCCAGTAACCTAGAAAAAAAGATGCAGTCAGATGTAGAAAATTTTTATTTTTTTCATTATTATAAGTTAGCTATATCCTTTCATATTCCTCTTCCTGTGCTTTCCTTTCAGTATTGAATGTTACACACAAAGAAGCTTCAAATTCGTATTGTACATGAAGATCAATGACTACGTGAACAAAATTCACGACACTCCAGGATAATAGATTTTAAACAGAAATGCATATGAAAAAAAATACAAGATGCATCTTTTTCTTTTATAATTTTTGTTTGTCTTTCTTTGCTTGTTCTGCGACTGCTTCTAGACGATCGTGTTCTGCAATTAAAGCATTGACTTCGCTTGCTGGTAGAATTCTTGTCTGAGTTTTACCATTTTCTCTCGTTAAGGTGGCCATTTCAACTACAATAAAACAAATAAACATTTATAATACTGTAGGTCATATTGATTGTAAACACTAAATACAGAAAGACAAGTAAATTAAATTTACCTTTTTCTGCAGACAATTTGTTCATATCTAAAGTTTTTGATAGTACTTTTATAGCTAATGCCATAGCATCTTTCAGTGTTGTCTCTCCATCTTTATATTCTTGCTTCAGTGAGGACACTGCTGCAGCAGCATTGTTTCCAATACAAGTTGCTTTCCATCCTCCATAATTTCCACTTGGATCTGATTGATATAATTGATATCCATAATGCTTATCCCATCCCATATACAGAATAGAAACCCCAAAAGGTCTCTTTCCACCATACTGTGTATATGCTTGTTTTACATCGCAAAGCCAGGAAACAAGTTGTTCACATGGAATTGGTTCTCCGTATTGCAGAAGATATCCTTGTGCGATCAGACGCAATTCATTTGTCAATACATTGGCATCAGAGGTGATACCAGCAACGGAACAAACAACATCATTGTTCAGCTTATAAATCTTTTCAGAGAAGAAAACTTCATCCAAAAGCTTATTTGTATTACGCCTTTCAGCTGCTAGTAGAATACCATCATTCGCTAAGATACCCAAGCAAGTACCTGCATGACTTATAGCTTCCATTGCATATTCCACTTGGTACAAGCGACCTTCTGGAGAAAAGATTGTTGTACGCGTATCATATCTCCGTGCCTATATAAAAAATATAGAATTATTGTGAGGATCCTGATGAAGGAGACTAATGAGAGAAGGACAGTAAATAGTCTCAGTAGAAATTTTCAGTGAGATAAAATTATCTATTGGAGAAGTAAAAGAAATATAAAACAATTATTGTAGAAATGTTTAAGCAGATAAAAACAAAGTAGTCAAATGTTAAATGAATAACAGTAACTAATTTAAATTCATGACAAAATTATTTTGAATTAATGAGATATCTTAATAAATATTTATATATAAGAAATAGAGAAAGTGTTTGAATGATAATAATAAAGGTAAATGTATAATCTAAGTGAATTCTGCCACTATTATTTCAAGAACAGTATTCTTGTCCAATGACAGTGCAATTTATATAACCTATTCCGCATAGACTTATGAAAATATTGAAACAAGTATACAGCCGTAGTGTGAATAACGTACGTAACAATAATTTTAAATAAATTTGTTCAATATTTACCATTATGCGAAATTCTGTTTACTATAATAGCACTATGACACGTGAAATTGAAAAATTGACACCACAGGTAAAACCAATTTGTGTTAGTTGCCTTTTTAAATAGCTTCAGACCGCATGATGTGTTCTGCAAGTCAGTGAAACATCCCCCAATAAAAGTGTGTTCCATAATGCGTACGTACAATCTGGTATAACCAAATAATTGGACAAATAACAATTAAGTATATCTTTTAGTCGAATCATATTGTCTGTTGAGTGCCTTTGAATAAATATGTAAAAGTAACGTGATGATTTTGTTTTGATGAGGTTTCCTGTAACATGAACGAATACGCTCAGAGCACGTCAATGGTTGCGTTAGCGTAAAATCTAGTGAAATCACTCAACGGTTGTGTCTCCTGAACGCACCTAATGATTAGAGGTTGATGGTTGTTAGTGATCAGGTTGAGAACGCCTGTTGCAATCCATAATATTATAGACTACAATTTATAGTGTCAGTATAGTCAAGTATAGTGTTTGACGCAGTTTGACACAGGCAGGATCTTTTGTTAGTGCAATAGGTTTCAATTGTTTTTTCGATTTTAGTCGATACGCGTCATGGGTTGTGATGGTGGAACTATTCCTCGTAGGGATGAGCTTGTCAGAGTAAAAAAGAAACCAGAACAGGTAATTACATACTCTGAATTAACATTAAATTTGTGATGTTACATAGATTCACTTTTTTTATAAGCTTACTATGTACACATTGTCATCATATTTATTAACTTCGTGTATATACTGTTGCAATTTCGTTCACAACAGATTTATGTATTAATTATTTGTAGAAAGATAAAGAGGCAGAATTAGCATTCAAATGGAGACATTGTACAATAAAACAATTACCTCTGCAACCACCAGTGGTTGGGTGTGCTCTGGGTCGCTTGTACAGCAAAGAGTCCGTGTTGGAGGGCCTTCTTGATAGAACCACACTCCCAGAATCAGCACAACATATTAAAAGTTTAAAAGATGTAAAAGCCCTGAATTTAACTTCAAATCCAGCATTTGAAGCTAATAAAGCTGAAAAAGGGGACTGTTACACAGATGGAGGCAAGAGTCCCTACATTTGTCCAATTATTGGATTAGAAATGAATGGCAAATACAAATTTTGCTTTTTGTGGTCATGTGGTTGTGTAATGAGCGAACGTGCACTTAAGGAGATTAAGAGCACTGTAAGTAATGTATTTAGAATAAAAAATAATTACTTACATTAAAGTGTTTAATGAATTATATGTTACAATGCTTTTCAGATATGTCACCAGTGTCAACAACCCTTCGCTGACACAGATATTGTTATAATGAATGCAGAGGGTGATGATCTTAAAAAAATGGAAGAAAGTATAATAAACCGAAAGGCTGCTCAGAAGAAATCTAAAAAACAAAAACATAATGAAGTTACTCAAACTCAAGATGCTAAACAAGATGATGTACCAAAGAAGAAAATTAAAAAAGAAGATAAAGTTGCTAGCATTAAAATCAACAGTAACAGAAGCGAAGCTGAAGATCCAGCATACAAAAAAGTTAAAGATAACTATAGTGTAGCCAAGGATCCCAAAGCATCGGAAGTTTTCAAAAGTATTTTCACTAGCCACAAATCTGCTGCAGAACAAGATAGAGCACACTGGATTACATACAATCCATTCTATAATTAAAATAATAGTTTCAATATAAGAGTATTTATAAACATACAATATTGTTAAACACGTAAATAACATCATATATAGAGATAATTAAAATATATTACAAACAGTGAAATGTTTCGACATCACTGAATAAATAATTTTATATATAAAAAAGGAATGGGTCTTATTAGTTGTATTATTTCTTCTGTTCTTATACTCTACCTCGTCAAATAGTAACAAATTTGAAAAACTCTATCATTAAACTTATATATGATGAAAAGCATAATTATATATCACTAGTTAATAACAATGCAAAATGAACACATGTTACATTCTTCACGTACAGTGGGCGAAATTTCTATAAGAACACTATGATAAGTAATCCATAAATTTTTAGTAGTTGCAAGTCTGGAATCTTATAAACACTACAATGTCTTTATTATGGAACGGTTTGTGTAAACAAACTTCGAGTCTTCCGTAGTTGTTTATAAAAACAATCACTCACGGTCGAAGTCAGTGCGTACTTTATCTATTTTCTATCTTTCCGTCATTATTACTAACCATTAATTGCATCAACGAATTACTTAACATTTTTTATTAACAGTAGTGTTGTTATACAAATTTCGTCTACTGTATATGCTTTGTTCGGTAAAAGGAAATATGTGTTACGTAAATTTAACGACGGAAGTGCTTAGTAAAATATACATATAAAATATTATTAATGCTAAATTCAAAACTATATTTTTGTAATCTACTGTAAGTGGAAATTTATATTTATTTAGTTCCAGTAACATATTTCTATATACTCATTTGTAATGAATGTATATTTTGGCTTAAATTTTATCAAAGCGAATAAATGAAGAAATAATGTGGCGACGCGTAGCGATCTCTCATTTGTACATATGTATGCATGTCAACGGAAACACGAATGTATTCAGAATGAATTCATGACACATAGGATTTATCAAAATAAGTTATACAATTTGTAAATTTACGTTGAGTACTATATGTTTAAAGGCACATAATATAGTTTGTTTCATTTTTTAAGCGTTTACCACAGACAATGGAACATTATCTTGCACTGGTTGAAGGTTTCTCAAATATAAAATCACATTTGAGGCACTCTGCGCACAGAAATCGTTTGAATAACTCTGCGTAATCTACCGACTGTTCGTTTTCTTCGAGAATGCCTTTTTGATACCAAGCAATTCCATTGGTTTAATAAATAGAGAACAATACTTCCTACGACAACGATTCCTGCCAGGTAACTCCACTTACTTGTAAATAATTCACTATTATCTTCATCACTTTGTTCTAATTCGTCAATAATATTGTTTCGCTCCGCATGATGAAGCGTAGGAATGTTTGCACCACCGACTCGCCTTCTAAGCCACAATGGATTTGAATCTTGTAGAACTGGATTTACCGCGACTATCGTATCTCCCACAGATAGTAACTTTTGGGGTTTATAAAGATTTCTGAAATTAAATTAAACTTGTTGCTTACGTTACTATTATTAATGCAATCATTGTATAAAAATTGAAGAAATTTTATAACTACTTACATAGGGACAGATTCGTTTAATGGTTTTGGAACAGCAAGTGTGATGGTAGGGCAAGATGGAAGTGGTCGAATGTGCCCGGTATTAGTACTTTCTGGTAGTAGTACTTTACTATGACGTCTTAAATGACTTTCTTCCATACGTTGAGGCAGTTCGCTATTGTCTAAAACAGTAGACTTTTCCAAAATTTTTGCTTTCGTCCGAATGTCGTCAGTGAACACGGTGGCGACATGACCCGTTGTTGTATACTCCAGTATAGCATCAAGCATCCAAAAACATGCTAAAAAAGCATAATGTTAATAAATGGTACATTCGGTCAGTGTTAAATTTCAAAACATACGTTTTTGTAGGTGGCTATCGTCGATGCAGTTCGAGTCTCCATATACTACTATTCTGCCTGGTATTATTTGATCTTTCATATTATTTTTGTCTACATTTTCCTTATTCACTATTATGTTGTCATCGTCTTTATACATTTTTTGAACACCCTTGTAACCATTTGTTTGGAATAGTCCAAGAATTGGCATGGACATTGTAGATCTTGACTCTGATTCGAGCAAAAGTTCTTGGCCCTGATCGTGTAACTCTACGTAGATAATGATTCCATTTCTTGGAAACCTTAACAAATCATCTCAATATTTATATATGCTCATTATTTTTCAAAAGTTGCTATATCTTTAGTAAAGTTATCATACCGTGTAATCGTAGTCCCTGAAGCGAATGTTACAGGAGGATGTTGACCAAGAGTGAATTGACCATTACGTACTTGATCTCCAAACGCTATATCCCAATTAGGGTATAGTAAATCATTCAAGGCTGGTATATTTGCGCCTCCTGTGTCTGGTATCCACCATTGCCGAGTATTTTCATCGTAAAACTTCACCTTCCTCATAACAGTGACATTGTACCAGTCTGCAAATACAATGACAGAGAGACCTTCTTCTTCTACATCCCTTTTTAACTTGGCGACCTAAAAGAAGTTTCACATTGTTTGTTACCTTAATACGAAAAAAAAGTACACGTAAAAGTATTGTGTTGTGTAGCGTGAATACCTCCTCGGGAAAGAATTCTTCCTCGGTATCCACCATAAGCAAAGTACCATAGTTTCTGGCATTGAAACAAGTGAAGGGAACACCGAGTACCTCCAAATAATAACCAGCATTTCGTAAATGTTGATACATATCTTTAAAGTTAGTGTGGATATGGTCACCGTTCCAATCTAATGGGTCATTCTTTGCGCGTAGGTCATCTCGCGGAAAATATCCAGGTGGATAACGCAAATTATGGTACTGATCCCATAAAATACGCTTACTATTAAAAAGGTATTATTTTATTAATTATATAGCAATTTTCCGTAACAATGTTATGAAAATCTCTATATCTTACTGTCGTGGGGGCGTAGGAATAACTTTTGCTTTTAAGGGTAATTCTATTTTAGATTGTCTTGGTGTCTCTTCCCCATCACTTGGCGGTGATTCAATTGTAACTGATATATGACCTATATATGCAATCAAACATTATAAAAACTGTTCTTTTTTAATTAGAAAAATAAGTAACTAAAAGATTGTTAACCTTGTGCTATGCCTTGCCAATCACGAGCAGAGGATGGGACTGTTATTGCAACTGCTAACCACCCAGACCATGGCCAAAGAACATCACTATAAGTTACTGATACATCAATTCGTTCTCCGTTGCCATTACTGGTATATGGATGCCATACAAGGTTCGTCACGTGGCCAGATACTCCCAAACCGTTTATTATAGTTATATTTACAATTGTGGGCATTCCAGTGTGATACACGGCTTGTGTACAGTACGGCCACATATACTGACACTCGGTCAGATCTATATAACTGATGGTACATCATAAGTTTTAAATAATTAATTTGTTAAGTTATACTAAAGAGAAGGAATAATTAATTTGTTAAGTTATACTAAAGAGTACATAACGGCAATGAAACCAAACTAGCCCAACTGTCTATCAGGTTACTATAGCATAATATCATAGAAATATTTAAACAAAAAATGCCCACAAAAATTTTCACAATAAGAGGCTCCGCAATATAAAGCAAAGGATTAATTACCTTGGGCTTAGAGTAGCAATCGGTGTATACGAACGAAGAAAATGAAATGCTCGTAACAGATCCAATTTACCTGCACCTTGCTCAAACATTCCTACTCCAGGTAAACGACGCGCAGAACCAAGTAATGCTTGCTTCATACTAGCTGGAGTAACCTTTTAAAATATACACGATGATCGAATGAAATTTTCGTTTCGTAGTATGGCATTAAATTAATAATATTTAGAAAAACACAAGTATTATATATTAATTACTTTTTGTTTAATAGGATGAGTTTCATCTGTTTGAACGAATCCACTAGCTAACAATGCCACAGCACCAGCAACCACAGGACTGGCAACTGAAGTTCCGGATAATGTTCTGCAACCTGTTTGTAATGCAGACCCTCGTACTGCTGATCCATATGTAACCAAATCGGGTTTCACTCGACCGTATCCCGCTGGTAATTCCCATGTTGTCATTCCTCTCGATGAAAATCTTGCTATCTGATCTTCCCAATTAATTCCACCCACTCCGATGACATCCATTTGATCCGCGGGATTGTTTAATGTACTATGTTAAAGAAGTCTAGACTTATTGTTTAGAATATAATTTTCTGTTCCGCAATCGAAAAGACTAAATTTTTATAGTTACCCGTACAATGGTCCATCGTTACCAATTGCAGAGACCATAATCACACCGTTTGCTGTTAGTTCCCATACTTTATCGACAAACGGATGATCCATAAAGTCTGGTCCTCCAATGCTAAGATTCAATACTGTGACCTTTGTAAGAATAGCATAATTGAATGCATCCAAGAACCACGAAGTATATGATACCTATAGAAAGCAGGAAGATTCTCAAGGTGTAATGTTTATAAAAGTGTGTGTATTGAATGATGATGATATAGATACCTGAGTATTAGTAAAAACACGAAAAATATGAAGTTCAGCATCCGGTGCAAAACCAAGGCAATCAATGCAAGATGATGCAATAACTCCAGCTACAAATGTCCCGTGACCCAAACCATCTTCTAATGTCTTTTCATTTGTCCAGTTAGAACGTTCTTTGATCTTTTTGAAATGTGGATGGCTGGCTGCTAGCCCCGTATCAAATATTGCTACCTAATGGTTATCATTATGCGTACAATAAACATTCATTGAGATTTTTTGAACAGGTATCTTAATTTACACTATTTACCTTAACACCATTTCCAGTGACACCCATTCCCCATAAAGCATCGGCTTGAAGTATGCTTGTAATTTGCCTCGGTATAGCTCTTAATAATCTACGAGATGTGTGACGATTTGTTGACTGCCAGAATTGGTTGTTCTAAAAGCCATATCAATTAACAGATCATATATTTTGTAAGTAGATACTATCGCATGGTATAAAACGTAAATAAATTAGAACTTAAGAGACTCACATAATTGTTGATTTTTCTTTTAAAGTTTTTATATTCTGGGAAATCAGCATCTTCGGATGCATTCATAAATTTCAAGCTTCTCTGGACAAGTTTCTGAGGAGTTACCCTCCTAATAAGAGGATGATCAGTTAAAGCATCAAGTCCATCATATTTATCTGTTTCTTCCAAGAGTACAACATCGAAATCACTAGGAAAATTGCTAGCCAAATTGTCACGAAATAAAATTTTCCAATTGTGAATCCCAGATGAATTCAATGCTGCTCTAATATAATTTTCTCTTGTGTATGGCTTATAATAGCCCTTAAATGCGACAATATACTCATTTTTAACAATTCTGCTCGAAAAGTGGACTTTTACTTGCTCTGGACCATTGCCATCGCATAATAATTTGACAATATTAGGAGTTTCTGAATTTATGGAATTGTTGTGTTCGACTGAACAATTTACTTGGTTTTGTGATATTTCAGTTCCAATAGCAAGCAGTAACAGTAAAGGGACATATAGCCAGCATGTATGTGGCTTCATACTATTGATATCAGCTGGAAAATATGTATTAACATTATTTGTAACAAATGACTACCTATAACTAAATGACTTTGTTATTATCAAAATAATATTAATTTAATCAGACATTTTCATAATGCTTTTATCTGATTGATTTTAATAATAACTATTAGTGGTTAATATTGATTATGTAAATGTAAATGCTATGGAGTTTGTAAAACTTACATGCAGTGGAAAGGCATAATTTTTTAAACGGTATTAATTCTGATCATACTTCCTCATGACGTTTCGAGAAATAAGAAGCTGGTCTAATATTGTTCCGTTTGGTTAACGTTTATGGAAACTATAAACGGTGCAAAGACGTCTCTTATTTTATTGTCAAAATCTTGTTTTAGATGTCATAACCTCAACGTTCTCAAAATACAGTTTTGCCTCGATTGAAGAATCGAGTCGCTCGAATCATGCATTTTTGTTCAATATTTTCATCACATTCCTTACTTTCAAATGCAACCAATAAACCTTAGCGCGAGTAAATTACACTTGTCAACAACGAATAAACAAATCATAATGCACTGTACTATCGCATTGTTGACAGAACTTCGCAGTGCATGGTACTGATGTCAGTATCAGAAGTTTCAGTGTTCTTATTATTTATTCGCTGATATAACAGTATTAAACAGCGTCCGTTGCGTTTTGATTGAACGAAAAATTCATTTTGCGAAGAAGTTCGCGTGGAGGGGAATCGCGTAAAACATCATTTAACCAAGGTAAACAATTTACGCAACGATTAACCTCTAGTGTAAATCTATTTTTAATGCGCACATATTTCATCAGTCCATCTAATTTAATCTGTATGAATTATTAATAAAAATCATGTATGTTTTCCTGTGGTTTGAAGTATGAAATTTTAATATGTGTTACGTAGTGCTGTCAATTTTTGGATTATGTGACAGGTGCTTGTCAAACCTATTTATATAAATATGTACATATATAGTATATAACCACATGTGGAAGTATTAAGAATTTTTTAAGTAATGTTATTTTTAAATTATTCGTTAAGATTATTCAAGAAATAATCTGTTTTATAAATAGCATAAATATTGTCCACGGAAAAATTAAAGACATTTATTTGAAATAATGAATTTATTATGTTTCCAATATTATGGTATTTCAAAACATGTTTATGGGACATTATCTCATTGACGTAGTTTTGGTTATACCAATATATCTACTGCATTTCTTATATTTTTATTTTGTGTAAGATTGTGTATTTATATTTCAATAATAACTTGTAGTGTTCAGTGCTATACGAGATAAGTGAATAATTTCATAATGGAATCTAATGTTTATACTGATATGGATGAAGAGGCACAAAATAAAATTAATGTACCATCAATTAATCAGAAGGATAATGTGATGGTTAATGAACAGAATGCTATAACAACGGTGATTATAGAAGAATTAGATGAGAGTGCTCTCAGCAATATGAATGTTGATATGACAGAGTTTGTTGAAGCAAAAGCTTTGGAGATTAGAGAAATAACAGGAGATATAATACCAGAATCTTATTTTGAACAAAGTAACTCTGCCATTGATATTACTGTGGAAACAGATGATCAAGACATATTAATGACAGCAGATGAAGAAGATCGATTAACAAAGCAATTTTTAAATGGAGAACTGACATTTTCTGAGTATTCTTCAAGAATGGATCAAGATATAGATTTAGAAACTGTAGAAACTGATCCTTTTAGGTAGTACACCAATAAGTATACATATCCTTTTACATAAACGCATAGCAACAAATGTTTCTATTTGTAGAAATGAAAATGAGTTTGAAGAAATAGGAACAAGTAAAACTGTTCTTAGAAGAGGACCAAGAGGACGTTACAGAAAGAAGAAAAGGACACTTCCTCCAGCTCTACAAGGTCTTATGGGTGAAGCAAATTTAAGATTTGCCAGGGGGGATACAGACTTAGCTGCCCAAATATGTATGGAAATAATTAGGCGAGTTTGTATTATAAAATGAAAAGTATTCATACTGTGAGATCATAAAATGAAACAATATAAATATTTTGACTTTTCCTTAGACAAGTACCAAGTGCTCCAGAACCATTTCAAACACTGGCAATGATATATGAAACGGATCAACCGGAAAAATCATTACAGTTTGCATTAATAGCAGCACATCTTAGTCCAAAAGATTCTGATCAATGGGTGAGATTGGCGAACATGTCATTGGAAGCTGGAGACATTAAACAGGCTATAACATGTTATAATAAAGCGATTCAAGCAAGTCCGAAAGATATAAGTTTATATGAAACACGAGCACAGCTGTTAGAAAAGCATGGAGACAAAAAAGCTTACTTGAAAGGATTTTCAAAATTGGTTCATCAGTTAGAACCCGAGGATGCTGGAAATGTAATTAAGTATGCAAAAATGTTAGCTCAACGATGCATGGAAGAGAATAACAATGAACAAGCATTAGAAGCAATGGAAAATATTTTCTCAAAGTGTCCTAGCTTCATTACTCTGGAAGAAGTTAATATTATGACTGAGATATTAATAGCATTAAAAAAGTTCAAAAGATGTCTAAACATTCTGACTACATACACAACTATTTGGGTGAAATTTAAAAATGATAACAAGAATGTTGACGTAGTCACGAAAAAGTCTGGAAATGAAAAGAAAGATGATGTAGAAGATCGAGGTATAGATGAAATAGAAGCTTGTGGAATGCCAGATGATGTTGTTGTTGATCTAAAAGCAAAGTTTCTGATAACTCTTCTTGAATTAGATCAAATGAAACTAGCAGAGAGTCTTCTGCCTAAATTCTATTTGCACGAAAACCCGGAAATTTCTGGCGATCTTTTCTTGGATATAGCAGAAACTTTAATGGGGAAACAAGAATTCGAACGTGCTCTTCTATTATTAGATCCACTAGTGAATAGTAATAATTACAGTTTAGCTGCAGTCTGGTTACGACATGCGGAATGTTGGGTCGGCTGCAAAGACTTAAAGAAAGCAATAAAATCTTACGAAGTTGTGACACAATTGTCACCTCAGCATTTAGGCGCGAGAATAGCTTTGGCTAAACTTTATCAATTGTGGGGTCAGTATAATAAAGCGATAGATATCCTGAATCAAGATCCTGAGTCTGATACTTTAGATCCTCAAGTGATTTACCGAAGAACATTGCTTCTTTACAAGGTGAAGAAGTACGATGAATATTTTCAATCTGGTATGCTGCTGTTTTCTCGACATTGCGTTCATGTAAGAAGCAAAGTCGAACTAAGCGCAATATCCAGGCCATATGCAATACAACGCCGTATAGATTCGTTGAAACTTTATCGGCTGTCGCGTGGTGAAAAATTCGAAGAAGAAAATGCACCGGTGTTTCTCAGCACTACAGACCTCAGTGAAAAAAGTGAATTTCTTTTATTTCTACAGATGTGTAAGTTAGCTTGTCGATTAAAGAGATATGGATTTTTACAAAGAATATGCATGAGTGCATTAACGTCAAAGAGATTTGAAAAGAGAAACGCTCACGTTATGTTTCTATGCTCTTTAGCCTGCATTTATAATAATGATTCTTACCATGGATACAATATTGTCCGACACTTGATACGTATTTGCCAGACACCGAATTCGTGGAATTTGTTGAATATTATTGTTCAAAAAGCCCAGGACTCCAGGCATAATAGATTTATCATGCGTCTACTTGGAAGGGAAGATGTGTTCTCTTACGTACATGTGATGCATGCGAACAATTGTCTCGTTTCAGCAACGTATAAATATGCCCTGAACGATTACATTTCTCTCTTTAAAGTTGCACCCAGCGCATTGTTAGCGTTACTCATTGGTATAACTTTATTTCAAATGGCATGCCAAAAATCGTCCGCTAAAAAGAATCAACTTATAATCCAAGGTAAACTATAGATCTATTTAATATAGAAAAAGAAATATATAAAAAATACATTGTTCCCACTTTTTATGTTGCTTCATCGTAGGTATCGCGTTTCTGAAAAAATATTGTCAATTACGCGGCGAAGACGGTAAACAAGAAACATATTACAATATGGGACGTGCATTTCATCAGATTGGTTTGTTACCAGCAGCTATGCATTTTTATAAATTAGTACTTAACGAGGACCCTGGGGATTTAGTTAAGAATAATTCACACCTTTTGGACTTGAAGCAAGAAGCTGCTTTTAATCTACATCTTATTTATATGCAATCAGAAAATTATTTATTAGCGAGAATGTATCTTGAAAACTACATTACAGTTTAGTTTTAGAATAGATTGTAGATGCGCATGATCTTTTGTATATTGTAAATAACAGCAGTTGTTTGTAAGAGGGATATAAATCTGAAATATGAAATAAACTGTAATATTGTAAATAAATATATTAATATTTTTGTATGAATTTAAATATTTTCTCATATAACACCTGGCCCTTACATTATATATGCACCTTTTTTTTATCATAAATATGTTTAGTTTAATCAACTGTTACTATTTTTCAGGTACATAAACGAAATGAGTACGACATTGGCCAATAAAATTACATTTGGAAGATTATGCAATGTCTTAAAAAAAATTGAAGAAGCACGTGGCGGTAAAAAAGCTGAGATCTTTGAGAAATTCATCCAGGAATGTCGTCTATATATTGAATATATATGCCATAAATTGAAACGTCCTGATACGGTATAGTTGTCCATTTCTTAATTAGCTTTCATTCAAAATTAATGTGGATATTAATAATTTTTTTATAATTAGGACAAAAGTAATGGAATAATAAAATTATTTTAGAGTTCCACGAGCAAAAAAGATTGCAGGTGCTGATTTCGCAGAGAAAGCTTATTGGATCCTGCGAAATCGTTTCCCATCCGAAGCTTCTGGCTGGACCATAGAGAGAATTAATTTATTTTTCGATCATATATCATCGAAAGACGAAACCATTCAACCAAAAGAAGAAACATTTAAAGTGTTATTCGAAAAAATAAATGCATTAGAGTTTAAGTGGATAACACGAATAATTCTTAAAGATTTGAAACTTGGTATTGGAACAAAGAAAATACTGCAAGGTTTGTCTACTTACGCTGGTATTTATTATTGTGATACCTTTCAATTGTTTTATATTTATGGATAATATGTGTGTTTTCAGTTCTTCATCCAGATGCAAATACATTGTTCGACGTGTCATCAAATTTACGCCAAGTTTGTGACACACTGTATAATCCTGAGTTGAGATACCATCATAATATCACAGTGTTCTCTCACTTTAAACCCATGTTGTTAGAGAGATGCAGAATTGAAGATACAAATAAACTTTTTGCTAAAGATGAACAGTATTTTGTGCAATGTAAATATGACGGTGAACGTTCTCAGATGCATATGAAAAACGGCAGATATAAATATTTCACAAGACAAGGATATGACATTACAAATTATCCTGGTTATGGTGAAACTAGTTCTTCAGGTATACTTAACGGGTATTATTGTAATTACATTTAAGATTGTGCTTCTAATAAATTTTCTTATTCTAGGCTTTATGAGCAGTGTATTTAGCCGACTTTTAAATCCAGAATGTAAATCCATAATCCTGGATGGTGAATTATTGGGTTGGCATAAAGAGAAGAAATTGCTGGCCTCAAAAGGAATGCGTTTTGACGTTAAAAAACTGTCAGATAATAGCCATCATCAGCCATGCTTTGTCGCATTTGATATAATTATGTACAATGATGTCTTACACGACACTGAACCTTATGAAAAAAGACTGGAAATCTTAAAAGATACATTTAAAGAAGAAGAAGGATCCCTAATGTTGTGTAAATCGATTAAAATTTCTAAAAGGTATAATTTATACTATTTGTATAAAGTGTAATTTACGAATACATTTTATACGCGTAATTTTAATTATTTTGTTAAAAGTGAAGAACTATGCTCATTGTTTAATGAAAGTATGCAGAATAAGGAAGAAGGACTGGTAGTAAAGAAATGTGATGTTAAATATAAACCTAACGCACGAGATGGTTGCGGTTGTTATAAAATAAAAGCAGAGGTACCATTTTCTTTTTTGATATGTGTGTTTGTGTTACGGATTTGTTTCTTCCTTATCTGCAAACTACTATGTTCCAGTTTTCGGATGATCTGGTGGAAGACATAGACTTGATTATTCTCGGTGGATACTACGGAGAAGGAAAGTTCATGGGTTTAATCAACAGCTTTCTAACGGGAGTAGCTTCTCCACCAGACATTCCAGGAGAAAATCCATCGAAGTTTCTGTCTGTTGTATCCGTGAGCAATGGTTTTTCTATGGATACACTGAAGGACCTTTACAAAAAGTTTGAAGGAAAATGGCAAACGGGGTGCCCTGCGCATGTGACTCCACCCAGGGTAAGTTTAGATAACATAAATATTTGCGAATAAAATAACTGTATCCGTGATACCTGAATTTTCACGTTTTTTTTAGCTTGAACCACCAGATAGGTGGATTCGTCCTGAAGATTCCATAATAGTTACAGTACGGGCAAGTGAGATGACAACAAGCAATGATTATCCAACAGGGTATAGTTTAAGATTTCCTAGAGTCATGAGTGTTAGACCTGATAAACCTTGGTATAACGTTTGCACCACTACAGAACTATTATCTTTAGTTAAAGTATGTGTATTCCAATAAATAAATATTAATTACTTTATTTCTATATACACATATACAGGATACTTTATTGTTATTCAGGATACGCGACCAATTCAAAAGCTGACAAAACGAGATGTAGACTACGATGATATAGGAGAAGCTCCTGAAAAAAAAGTACGCAAGATAACGAGGCAACGTTACGACGCGAGGCCAACAAGGCTTAATATTTATGAAAATTTGCCGGTTCCTCTGTCACGACTTTTCGATGGTAAAGAAATTTGCGTGATAAACGGTGACAAAGAGATGCCCAAAGAACACATCGAAAAAATTCTTTTGCAACACAACACGAAAGTTGTTCAGAACCCGTCAAAGGAAAATTACTGTGTTATTGTTGGTAATCCTAAGACGGTACGTACGCCAATTATATTCTGTTACGAAATGGTGGCGGAGACTGAATAAATTTTAAGTGAAATTCAATCGCTTAGGTAAGAGCTATCAGCGTTATAGAAAAGGGAGAATACGATGTGGTAACGTTAGATTGGTTCAAACGTGTCACCAAAGAAGAAAATTGGCCGTCGTTAGAAGACTTTCTACCGTGGGAGTTAATAGCCTGCCGCGAATCAACGAAACGTCGATTAGCAGAACATTATGATGATTATTATGACAATTTTACTGTGGATGCAGACGAAGAAAGTTTAGCACATTCGCTCCAAAAAGCTGAAGAGACGGTATCACTTTTATACACGTTACGCTGCAGTCTTTAGAATAGAATTGACAGTATTATGTAACACCATTTTCAGGCGAAAACGTTAGAGTTTGATCACGCCCAAATGAAGGAGATGGATCAAGAATTATTTGCAGACGGAGTATCACCTTATTCCATATTTAGAGGCATGGTAGGATACTTTCAGACTCCGTCAGATGTATCTAAATTTGAATTTCGTTTTATGGCGGGAACGGTTAAGGACATCATCGATGATTCTGTCACGCACATATTTATCGATACAAACTGTTCGAGTTCGGAATTGGAAAGTTTAATTAATAATAAATCAGACGGGCCTGCAGTAATCGTTCGAAGTGAATGGATTTCCGAATGTTTCAGACAAAGCAAACTTATTCCAGATGAGGACTATGTCATGCAATAAAATAAAATACATAGGTTAATATTATTTCTACTAAGTTATTTGTAAATAAACCGACGAATTAAAGTGCAAAATGTTTGTTCTCTGTCTGTTAAACTGGATCAAGTATACAGTATAATTTCGAAGACTTTCACAAAGGACAGGTTGAAGAGTATAAATGTTACGCTAAGTCTATTTGTAACATGGACACCGAAAATATATAGATTCATTTTGGCTTATATTTTCGTTAAGTGCTAAGAAACTGGGTACTAGGCGGAGTGACAGTTGGACAGTTCGCTCATTTAACATCCCGTTTTGAAATATTTCTTCTCGGTTGAACTCGGCACCCTTGCTGGTCTCGTTTTATTTCATCGGAATGCGTGCAAAATATGAGGCAAGCGGGGGCACAGCTGCGACGTTTCCTTTACAAAGCCCGCCATTCAGTGAGATTCTCGAGCAGATTAAGACGAGAGAGGACTTTCGGGGGGAAAAAAGACATTAGTGGTGCGCGTACACCGGTGTACCGACCAACGTTTTTATTATTCCATTGTCAGATTTGAAGAGCATACGATTTTTCTGTACACACCCTGTTCGAACCGACAAACTGAATGTTACTTCCTGGACTAGAGTTCAAGAACCAGAGTGAAATTAAGTTAAAAGGGACATTGTTAGCATATGTTTCGCGAAGAAAAAATGTTTTCAAAAAATGTGGTCGAACGTTGAAACGCGGTAAAAAGTAGAAAATAAAAATTCTTTTCTATTTTTTAACGCATTTAAAAGTTGATCCACATTTTTTGAAATTTTTTTTTATTTTGTACTTTTGTACAGTGGGCCAATGGTCCAACGTAATATGGTATCCATTATCAGTAGTTACACAGTAACTGTAAAGAAAAACTCAAAGGGAACTACTTCGGCCTATTGGGAAGGCCGTGATCTGTGAATGAATACAATAGTTTATAGCAAACGAAAAAAAATCGGAATTTTTTTGCAAACGGGCCCACCGCGGGAGTATCTTCTACAAGATGCAGAAGGTTTCATCTCAATTAGCCCATTCGTTGTAGAGTAATCGTTGGACATACATAAACAAAATATACACATCGAATTGTATACCTCCTCCTTTTCGAAATCGGTCAAATACAAGAATATTAAAAACGGTACTCCAATAATTATGACTGTTAAATAGAATACACACTTTCACAAAGGTCAATCCATCTGGTAAATTGAATTTCTAATTTTCCACTTCTAAACCGAGATTAACCAAAGTACTCTTATTTCTTCTAGAATACTAATTTCTATCAAAAAATTGTCAAACATTTTATTACATCCCTAAAAAAAAGATCAGCAAAACAACAAGTGCATATCACAATATTAATAAAGGTACATCGTTACAAAATGGAATATACAAATCAACATAGCTTCGGTATTAAAAGCCTTCGTACAAAAAAAGTTCAGTTCGGTCCGCGAACGGGCGCGCGGCTAATCGAACACGAAAATCGCTTTTTCGTCGGGCAAATTGTAGCTGAAACTTCGCGTCGAAGATGTATACCGTGGCTTGGCGTGATGTATGCATAGTGTTAACCGTCGCGGATATCTCGTTAGCGTAAAGGAAGGTTTCGTCCACCCGGCCCCGGAATATAATATATGAATATGACTGACGTCCGTGTCCGCCGACGATTCTACTTATAGACTCTTCACCTACGGACACGACACGTATTAATCGAGTTTCAGATTTTCCAACGGGCGCGCGTCCCCAACGGGCCGCGCGTCATCTCGCTGCACGTCCAATTTATTCACGGAGTTTCACTGCTAACTCGGTACCTGCCAATTACGTCCACTCGTTACTGTTGTTCACTCACGTTGCCACCGTTAAAACGTACAATTTAAACCGTCCACGCTTGAATTCTGCGGTTCATCGACGTACGAAAGAATCCCTTCGAATTATGCTGGATGTTCCCGTCCAAACGAGACCTTAATGGTCCCAGTGGACGTTCTGACGTGTATTCCTATTCATATTTCCCGTGGATTATTTCATAAAAGTGACAAATAGACCATAAATAATATAAAATAATACATACACTTTTATCCTAGTAGATTTTATTGTCTACCGATTGTGGTTCTTGGAATACCTTCACGCTTCTTCCATCTTTTACCGTAAATGGTACCGAGACCAGAAGAAGAAAACTATTCAAGTTATTCTAGATATCAATTGGTGAACTGGAGTATCTTTTCGTGGAGATGCCCACTGAAAGTGTTCAATTTACACTTCCTCGTTTAGACGAATCTCTGTTGTTTCGCATCAATCTGCCCTTACGTACACATCTTACAATTGCATCCTGATAATTGGATCACACGATTCGCGCATGTCTCTTAAGTCGTCGAGGCTGCTAGTTTTCTTCCCCCCGACTTAGTGGTTCCTAATAAGCGTGTTTAGATCCCCACGATACGTGACGATTATGTGTGTACAGCGTTCTCTTCTTCTTCTGTTCGCTGGGTCTCAACTTAAATGGTTTCTTCCTAGATTCCTTAATGATACCCGTTTCTTCCTCGGATATTCTGTTATATTTTCTGAACAAGGTACGAACACCTTCGTTAGTATTGTCCCTTTCGAACGTGTAGCCATCTTTATCGGTCGATTGGGAGTACACCGAAGAAGTCGAGGACGCGCTCGTTCGACAGGAGGACGAAGAAGTCGGTTGTCGTTTCTGCAGAACAGAATGTTGGTACAACACCGTGCAAGAAGGGCACCGTTTCGACGAGGACATATTCGACGAATGGGAATGGCCGTGATAATGTTGGCTGTTCGATGCAGGTTTGTAGGATGGACACCGACAGACGACTCGTTTCCGACGGTCGGAGCTCTCGGTGAATTCGGAAAAACCCGTGGAAGAACTGTTCGCTGGATCCTCGAAAGTCCTAGATTTTACGAATTTCTCCGTGAAAATGCTCCCGGTTGCGTCCTCATTTCTTCGCGGGAACAGACTCGTGTATCTAGGGATGAATCGATTCAAGTAAGTACAAGTAAATCATCGATACTTTCGTTTCGATACCGAGTATGTATTTTTAATATTGATACTTTCGGTTGCGATATATACTTGATATAAAAAAAAAGTACTCATTTCGAATGGAGCGAGTAGTCGAGAAGAAAGCTAATGAATGTGAAAATGATTGTTGTCCAGTTATATTATTTTGTTAATAAATGTTCGTTAATAAATGTTTATTAATAAAATATATCTTCGTTAAAATCAGAGATGGGCAAATTCATTACCTAGAAAAGAGTTTCGAATAACGAATGAAAGATAAAAATTCCAATTTTTGTAACAAAATAATTGTTTAATCACATTAACTATTTAATTATACTGTTCTTATATACTGCAGCTTTTCGCTATGTATTATTCGAATAAACTTTTGCTCAACTCTGGTTAAAATATATTATAATAATAAAAAAGAACTTTGTATTCATTTTCCTTCAATATAAGTAGGTATCGATACTTTTTTTTTTATATAAGTTATGAGTAAAAGTATCGATACCTTGATGGTATCTGGTTTATCCCTACGTATACCTCATGAAACGATTTCCACGAACAAGAGTGAATTTATGGTGGAGCTTGGAATCGATGTTTTTAGTTAACTTCGAATTGTCGGTGCGAGAATGATCGTTCTGCAATTGTAAGCTCGGGTAAAACGTTTTGCTCGGTTGTTCCGAGCTTCTGGGATTGAATTTCGTCCAGGATTCCTTTCTCTGGTGACTCCATTGGGGGCGGCTCCGTCTTCTGAAAGGATAAAACATAAAGTTACATTGATTTTTACAAATAAAATATATCGAAGATGGTATAACTGACTTTGAATCGCAGGAACAATTATTACAAAGATATTTTGACAGTTGTTTCTGATTCATTGTGCTCGTTCGATTAACTTTTTGGCCGGTTGGCCCGAGTTCAACCTCGTTGCGATGGAATTTCTTCTGGGAACCGGATGTCGTGGGATTTCTTATCTCGAAGTTCTTTGAATTATATCTTTTCTTAGTGGAGAATGGCCGCGAAAAATCTTCGAGAATTTCATTATCAATGGTGGAGTCCTGATGGGACTTAATGGTCTCCGATTTAAATTTCAATTTTGATTTGTCGCTTCTGCTGATGTTCAAACAATCCACCGATGTTTTCTTTCGAGTTTTAGGAGCACGTTTTTGCCGTAATTCGCGATAAAGCAGCGAATCCATGCAATTGTCCGATATGATCGTTTCGGTGAAACTGGTCTCGCTTTGCGATTGTTTCCTGTACGCTTTCGAATTGTATTTACATTCATTCGAGTCGATGTTTTTAACCGATTCTACGTCAGACACTGTCGTCGGTTTGGAGTTTCTATTATCATCGCAGAGTTTGTCCATAATTCCGGATTCCACGATATGGTGGGACGAAATCTTTTCTAACTTGCTGTCCAAACATGAGTTTTCTTTGCGTTCCGTTTCAATGTATTCTACAGACGACTGAGTTCTGTTGAAACCAACAAAATTGCATGTGGATTCAATTGACGTTTCCTGTTTTGCATCCACTTCATCTACACGCAATTCTAACGATACTTCGTCCGCACATTTATTGCTCTCCCGTAAAATATCTTCGAAATTTGCTTCCGTTTCAACAGACCTGACGTTTTTCCTTGATTTACCGCAATAACAATTATTTTGTATTTCTTCCTCGTGTTCGTTTACGATTTTCGTGTCTTCCTCCGTTCTGCTTTGAATTTCTGCGCATAATTTCCTACCAATAACATCATCTACATGATTCTGCAGCATTCCATAATTCTCATTTCCAATGCAAAATTTCCAAAAATCGGTGACAGTGTCCTGGGAAACACGCACGCGGACGCAGGACCGTTTTCGTTTCTTTCTCAACAGTTTTTCGGCGCAAACGATTCCACTGCAATGGCGGAAGAGACATTGTCGGCCGGGTCGTTTTTTCCTTACGCTGGTCGTTGAGTCTGCAAGCTGATTCAACGATCGTTTTAACGTTATATCTAACATGTTCGTG